AGATACATGTCAAATACAAGGATGAAGATGGTGATGGTGATGCTGATATCCGTGCTGACCGTTCTGGTGATGATTGTGCTGAACGAGGTTACCGGTGGTGGTGCCGATGCCGTTGACGATGCTTGCGAGTTGGTGTTGAAGTTAGGGCCATTACTAGGGGGTTATGGTTAGCATCACTTGATTCGGGGTTCGTGTTGTATTAGGGTAAGTGTTGGGCTAGGCGAGGGGTAGTGTGAAAGGTAGGTCTTCACTCAAATTTTTATTTTACCAGAGTAAGGCCCACTGAGCTACGTAGCTCTTCTTGATTTGAGGCTTTCGTGACTGCAGGAATCCATACTCTTTGGTTTTCTTCCGGTAAAGTCACGTGGGTAGAAAAATAAAATAAGTCACGACGTTTCGGGCGCAACACAAGCGTCCCGCCTGATGACGGACGAAACGTCGTGATTTATTTTATTTTATACCCACGTGACTTTACCGAAAGAACCAAAGAGTATCCATCGCTCGTTTTCAGAAGCGACCAGGCCACCACAACTGATGGCTTAGCGAAGTGCGCTCATCATCACGTGGAGATTTATGGCAGCCACATACTCTTAAACACGTGACGTTGATTCTAAATGTGTAGGGGGGGGGGGGGAATAACCGGAGGATCCGGAGAAAAATCCACGCAACCACGGGGAGAGAGAGAGAGAGACGCGCTAACTCCAAATATACAGCAGCAGGCGTCAGGGTGAGGATCGAGCCCATGACCTCCGGTAAACCGGACGAGGTAGTTAACATCTCTCTCCGAACACGAGCCATTGCCCAAAAAGCATCATCCCGCTCACTCCCCTGTACAGTATTGTTCTGTGGCTCTCTTACGGGAGTATAACTTCGAGTACTTTAACGACTCGTGGCGAAAAGTCTTGCCGACTCCATATCGACTTGCGGCATCACGCGTCTTCGCGTGCCGGAAGAGTGCGGATATCGAAAGTCTGACATTTTTTTTAGACGGGTTTCGGCAAAAAACAAACTTTCACCGGTATCGATTTAAAACACACAAACCTATAAATATATATTGTTTTAATCCTCCCCCTCCCCCACCCCCACCAAAAAAAAACCGTCCCTCAATCTCGTCCCGACTGCGCTGGCCAGTGGCGTTGGCCCTCGGCAGACGACGAATCCGCGAGGCCCCTTCTGACGCGTGAGAGCGCGGCCCCTGCGGAAAGAGGACATCACAGAGCTACATCTGAGATTCCCACTAAAAACAGGCTGATGAAGGCCGCTTGTGTTGTGGCCGAAACGTCGTGAGAATATTATTGTGTTATTTTATTTTATCAATTTATTATTTTATTCTCATTCTACGTGACTTTACCGTAAGAACCAAAGAACAGGCTGTCACTCTGCCAGGCCACTCGCCCTGCCACACGGAGCGAGCCGTTTATCGCGTGACAGACAGACTACTCTTTTGAATTCTCGTTTGCTGGAATTTAATCTAATTAAGTGCAGAACCAAATGCAGTGTGGTTGCGTTGTTGTTCAGCCACTGGGGGGTCGGACTGAGACCATCAATTTACCGCACGTGAGAACTTGGTTTAATCATAGCACAGTCTATGCGAACGAGTGGGTCTCCACGTCAATCTACGAGTCTCGACATATACATCTGTGCGTCTCTACGTGCAAGTCTGTGTGTCTCTACGTGCAAGTCGATGCGTCTCTATGCGAGGCTGCGGGTTCCTATGTAAATTGTATATCTGTGAATCGAATGTGAGCTTCGATGCAAGTCTGTGCGTCTCTACGTGCAAGTCTGTGTGTCTCTACGTGCAAGTCTGTGCGTCTCTACGTGCAAGTCTGTGTGTCTCTACGTGCAAGTCTGTGCGTCTCTACGTGCACGTCTGTGTGTCTCTACCTGCAAGTCTGTGTGCCTCTACGTGCAAGTCTGTGTGTCTCTACGTGCAAGTCTGTGTGTCTCTACGTGCAAGTCTGTGTGTCTCTACGTGCAAGTCTGTGTGTCTCTACGTGCAAGTCTGTGTGTCTCTACGTGCAAGTCTGTGTGTATCTACGTGCACGTCTGTGTGCTTCTACGTGCAAGTCTGTGTGTCTCTATTTGCAAGTCTGTGTGTCTCTACGTGCAAGTCTGTGTGTCTCTACGTGCAAGTCTGTGCGTCTCTACGTGCAAGTCTGTGTGTCTCTACGTGCAAGTCTGTGTGTCTCTACGTGCAAGTCTGTGTGTCTCTACGTGCAAGTCTGTGCGTCTCTACGTGCAAGTCTGTGTGTCTCTACGTGCAAGTCTGTGTGTCTCTACGTGCAAGTCTGTGCGTCTCTACGTGCAATTCTGTGCGTCTCTACGTGCAAGTCTGTGTGTCTCTACGTGCAAGTCTGTGTGTCTCTACGTGCAAGTCTGTGTGTATCTACGTGCAAGTCTGTGCGTCTCTACGTGCAAGTCTGTGTGTCTCTACCTGCAAGTCTGTGTGTCTCTACGTGCAAGTCTGTGTGTCTCTACGTGCAAGTCTGTGTGTCTCTACGTGCAAGTCTGTGCGTCTCTACGTGCAAGTCTGTGTGTCTCTACGTGCAAGTCTGTGTGTCTCTACGTGCAAGTCTGTGTGCCTCTACCTGCAAGTCTGTGTGTCTCTACGTGCAAGTATGTGCGTCTCTACGTGCAAGTCTGTGTGTCTCTACGTGCAAGTCTGTGCGTCTCTACGTGCAAGTCTGTGTGTCTCTACGTGCAAGTCTGTGCGTCCCTACGTGCAAGTCTGTGTGTCTCTACGTGCAAGTCTGTGCGTCTCTACGTGCAAGTCTGTGTGTCTCTACGTGATCCGATGGGGTTCTCCGTCGTTAGTCATTGATGATCGGGTTGAGATCATCGACTCACTCGCTGCACTCGGGAGAGCCGGTTAAATCACCCAGCATCACACCCAGGGTCTCAGTGGTTGCCAACTCGCTACTGTGACCTCACTGGACGCAATGGCGAGCACGTGGGGCAGTGTTCTCTCGTGGCCGTATGAATATAATATTGCACACACACGCATAAAGACAAAGATCCCCCGTGTAGCCTTAACAGACTGTAGGCGCAAGTGCTGTTCGCGAGCAGCACCTGTGAAGGCCGGCAAGGCACACGAGGGGGTGGGTCTCCGACACCACACCAGCCGCCTTTGTCTCCCCAGTGGCGATGTTTACTATACACCGCACCAGGTACTCATTTGAGGCTGAGCCGACCTAGGGGAGGACCATGTTCAGAAAATCGTCACCGGTGTTGGCCGTGAGCGGGAATCGAACCCGGGTCGCCAGGTTCGTAGCGCAGCGCGCTAACCACTACACCGCCACACAGAGACAAAGATCCCCCATATAGCCTTAACAAACTGTAGGGGCAAGTGCTGTTCGCGAGCAGCACCTACGAAGGCCGGAACGGTACACGAGGGCGTGGGTGGCCAGCACCACGCCCGACCGCCTTTGTCTCCCTAGTGACGATTTTTACACCGCACCAGGTACTCATTTGAGGCTGAGTCGACCTAGGAGAGGCCCGGGACCGACACAGACACACGCACACACACACACAGAGAAACACGCGCGCACATGTACGCACCCTTTTATAGATTTTTTTTTAGCTTGCATCGAATTTTGTATTCCTCATTTTTTTGCCATCTCGTGCCCACGCCGGGTTTGACCGCGCTAAGCCGCGGCTTAGCGCCGGTGGCGAGTCGCGGCTGTCCCGGTGGGGATCGCTGGGCAGGCCGTCCACAGACCCACACGGATCGTCGGCGTGGCCGTGAAGTGCGGTCGAACAAACAACCCGAGGGCCGACACGACACGGGGGTCCTCGGTGGTGGTGGTGGTCTTCGTGGTCGTAGTGGTGGTGATGACGGTGGTGGTAATGGTGGTCTGTATAATTAGTGGTGGTGGTGGTGATGATGGTGGTAATGGTGGTGGTGGTGATGATGGTGGTGGGCGGTAATGATGATGGTCTCTATAATAGTGGTAGTGATGATGATGATGACGGTAGTGGTGATGATGATGACGGTAGTGGTGATGATGATGGCGGTGATGATGACGGTAGTGATGTTGATGACGGTGGTGATGATGATGACGACGGTGGTGGTGATGATGACGGCGGTGGTGATGATGACGGTGGTGATGATTATGACGGCGGTGATGATGGTGGTGGTGATGATGACGGTGGTGATTATGATGGTGGTGGTGATGACGGTAGTGATGATGATGGCAGTGGTGATGATGACGGTGGTGGTGATGATGACGGCGGTGGTGATGATGACGACGGTGGTGATGATGACGGTGGTGGTGATGATGACGGTGGTGGTGATGATGACGGTGGTGGTGATGATGACGGTGGTGATGATGATGATGATGACGGTGGTGGTGATGATGACGGTGGTGGTGATGATGACGACGGTGGTGATGATGACGGCGGTGGTGATGATGATGACGGTAGTGATGTTGATGACGGTGGTGATGATGATGACGACGGTGGTGGTGATGATGACGGCGGTGGTGATGATGACGGTGGTGATGATTATGACGGCGGTGATGATGGTGGTGGTGATGATGACGGTGGTGATTATGATGGTGGTGGTGATGACGGTAGTGATGATGATGGCAGTGGTGATGATGACGGTGGTGGTGATGATGACGGCGGTGGTGATGATGACGACGGTGGTGATGATGACGGTGGTGGTGATGATGACGGTGGTGGTGATGATGACGGTGGTGGTGATGATGACGGTGGTGATGATGATGATGACGGTGGTGGTGATGATGACGGTGGTGGTGATGATGACGACGGTGATGATGATGACGGCGGTGGTGATAATGATTACGGTGGTGATGATGACGGTGGTGGTGGTGGTGGTGGTGATGATGACGGTGGTGGTGATGATGACGACGGTGGTGATGATGACGGTGGTGGTGATGATGACGGTGATGATGACTACGGTGGTGGTGGTGATGATGGTGGTGATGATGACAACGGTGATGATGACGACGGTGGTGGTGGTGTCGCGTGCGGTGCAGGCTCTGGCGGGCATCCTGGACACGAACGCCTTCCTGGACCGATTCCACAACTACATCCTGCCTCGCCTCCGCGGGGAGGACCGCGTGTGCCACTGCGTGTGCGGGAGGTGGGCAGCTAACTCACAAAACATACAAGTTACATACAACATGCACACAGCATGCAACATACACACAACATACAAGTTACATGCAACATGCACACAGCAACATACAAATTACATACAACTAGTGCACAGACTCGCAAAACATACACTTTACATACAACATGCACACAGCATGCAACATACACACAACTTACAACATACAAATTACATACAACTAGCGCACAGACTCAATATTCAGATTACATACAACGCGCAGCAAACAACACACACACAGCATATCAATTGCATACAACATACAACACAAGCAACATGCAAAATACACACAACATATACACAACAACACATAGAGACATGCACAGATACAACACGCACAACACATCCGCACACAATATGCATACTGTGCGTGTAAACACGTATGTATGTTGAACTTTTTTTCGCACCGTACGTAGCCAATCAACCACGCTAATCGGAGGTCTTCTCGGCCACAGTGATGCCCTTACCTCCCTTCTCTATGTTTGCGAAACGTGGAGCCCTTTGAAGGAGTTTAACACGCAGTACGAGTAGGCTATAGCGACCAATATTATCCATAATATCGGTTGTTTTTGGATTATATCGCGTAAATATATATGCGTCGCTAAACTCGGCCACCACGTGGTCTTAAAGTGCACCTTTGAAAGGAACACGTGCGCCGGTTAGAAACATTCATGCTGCCCTATCTACGATCCATCCTGGGTTTGACCAGGGTGGATTGTGTGCGGAGCTCACATATCCTTTACATATCTGGACAAAGCCCCATCGGTGAGCTCCTCCGGCAGACAAGGCTGCGTTGGCTGGGTCACGTAGCCCGCATGCACAGTCACCGCATGCACAAGTAGCTTCTGTTTGGCTGGGTAGAGGGGGCTAAACGGGCACGGCACCAGCTAGAGAAGAGATGGAGTGATGTGGTACAGGAGGACGTGGAGCTGAGTGGATTTGCCGATGACTGCTACCAGCGGTGTTAAGGTCGGCCTCTATGGAGGAGGCTCGTGAAGGACGCTGCTACTGGGCAGTTGGAGGCAGTCGCCCTCCAACAACAACAGAGGGCGGAGGAGCGATGCTCACAACAACGAGCGGAGCGCCGGATGGATAAAATACAGCGAGGTGGCCCAGCGGGCAGCACAGGTGGTGCATCTGCCAGTAATCTCGATCAGACAACGCATGGCACCTGGGTCTGTCCCATGCCCTCCTTCCAGCATCGAGTCTTCCACACTTTACGTGGCCGTGCACCTCGCATGGCACAAGTGCTCTGCTGGCATCACTGCCACTTCGTGGGAAATTTAAGCTGTAGTATACATGTGATCTGTATGTTATTGTGTGTCCAGTATGTGTGCGATTATATATCTGTCTGTGTATGATCATATATCCCTGTGCGCATATCAGTATGTGTGAGCAGTTAGATTCCCGCTCACGGTTTACATAAGTGAAGAATATCTGAACCGCTCCTGGGCCTTCCCTAGGTCGACTCAGCCTCAACTGAGTGCGCCGTGCGGGCCTTCATTAGATGCTGCTCACTCACAGCACTTGCCCCAACAGTCTGTTACAGGCTAAACGGGGGATTTTTATCCTATTTCTTTCTCATTGTGATGGCAAATGCGGCGACGGTCGCTAAATGTCTGCTAAGGCAATGCGGGGGATCTTTTATCTTTGTCCACGGTCGTTCCCCGGAGACCAATCGCACGCCCTCCTCCGTTCCCGTCCGTCAGCTGATGATGCACACCCACAAATTGACGCGTGCAGCGCAGCCTCGTTTACATATAGATGAGGAATAATTGGCCGGATAAGGGAAAGGGGACAAAACAAATCCATCCCCTCGTCTCGGAAGGGGGTAACAAAGACAAAGATCCCCCACCACCACCCCCCCCCCCCCCCGGACCCGACATTGCCTCGACGGTTTTTCGCTGTGCGGCCAGTGACCACTGCGAGCGAGTTGGCGTGCGGCGCCGTCGAAGGAAGGAGGCGGAATCCGCGGTGGCCCAACCGGCAGGGCCCCGGCGAGACTCCCACCGGCATCATCTCAAGCCGTCCGGCAAATCCGAGCGCGCCTCCAGCGAGACGTCGGCACGCTCAGATTTACACGGCGCGGATAGCCAAACAATTATGCCATGACACCCCCCCCACCGCCGCCGCCACCGCCGTCCCCCCCCCCCCCCCAACTCGTCACGTCATCCCAGTTAGGGTGGACCGACCGCAAATCATCGGCCCGACAACAACAAACAGAAACATGTATGCGGCTAGACGATTAATCACCCCGGCGCACGGGACATGCCCCCTCCGTTGTCGACACAATTGTCGACGAGGGTTGGTCAACTATTGATTCGTTCAGCGTTGGTTCGTCGGAGCGATCGACCCGGCTTGGTTTGAAATGCAGGGTGCTTCAACAGACAATGCGATACACTTCTGAGGATTTTCAACGACGCCGCGAGGAACGTGCCGCCGCCTCCGGGCTCTGGAGATCACCTGGGAGAAGATCCGGGGCCACGCGTTGACAACGCTGGCGAACGAGTGGGGGGAGACTCTTGGACTTGCTGAAGCTGTTAACATGGCATTTTGTTATCATGTTGCAGTGCATTATTATCCGTTATTTTTCCATTAAAAACGATAGTCCCATGTAAATATTAACATTTTTTTGAAGCAGCCTGTATAGCAGCGACACGTCCGTCTCAATCAGCTCGCCTCCGCATTAAATAGATGAGCTAATGCGGTGTATCTCGATTAGCTATTGCCCGGTCACATAAACGTTGTCATGTGGTCATCTCAATTAGCTACTCCCTGGGTTAAATACATTACCAAAGTGGTAATCTCGAAGAGATATTGCCTGGTTAAATAAAGTAGCTCAGTGATCATCTAAGCTATCTATTGCCTACGTCGCTGACAGCATCACACACACACACACTCACGTCGCTGACAGCATCACACACGCACACACTTACGTCGCTGACAGCATCACACACACACTCACGTCGCTGACAGCATCACACACACTTACGTCGCTGACAGCATCACACACACACTCACGTCGCTGACAGCATCACACACACACTCACGTCGCTGACAGCATCACACACACACTTACGTCGCTGACAGCATCACACACAGACACTCACGTCGCTGACAGCATCACACACACTTACGTCGCCTCTCAGCCATCGTCACCATCACCCAACTACGACTACCCTGTCAATCGCTTGCGATTTAACGTCGTTTCGATATTCGTCGTCGCACTCTTCAGCAACGCATCCCGACCCCCGGGGTATCACTCTACCTGGCAGTGGCGGGCCGTGAGTTTTACACGTCGGCCTATCAGTGAGAACCTCCCACAATTAAACCGCCTTCGAATAACCTCTCACCATGACACTAGGTCTACAGGCTATTGTCAGTCGACGTAACCACCCCATAGTCACAGTGACAGTAACCTTCTAGTGGAAACACATTCCTGTGGAGGGAGCTGGTAGGAACGTTGGGTTGCTCGGTCAATGGCCAGGGTCAACAACGGCGGCACCACGTGGTGCATTCCGCAAAATATGCCCGACTGTGAGGGCATATCTCTAGGCCAGCAGGGAAGGCCTTGCTGGTCTCTGCTCTACCGTCCCGCGTGGCCCCGCCACGCACACACACACACGCACAGCGCAACGTTTGATTGACCGATCGACTGATTGAACGAATGAATCGATGAAGGTGGTCGACAGCCAACGACAAAGAATCGCGGCGGTTGGTGAGCGGAGGGGTCGGGGTGTGACGTCACGCGACGTTGGTGAGCTGCAGGAGAGGGAGCTAACTTCTTCAGAAGTTATTTTGGTGTTTAGTTTGTTGTCATATTCTTGGTTCTTTCGGTGAAGTCACCACGTAGAAGGGAAACAATAAAATAAGAAAAATATAAAACAATAAAATTATCACGACGTTTCGACTGCAACACGAGCAATCATCATCAGGGTGTGAAACCCACAGCAAGAAAATTGGATTTTCACACCTGATGATGATTGCTTGTGTTGCAGTCGAAACGTCGTGAGAATTTTATTGTTTTATATTTTTATTATTTTATTGTTTCCCTTCTACGTGGTGACTTTACCGAAAGAACCAAGAATATGAATCCCTGCAGTCACGAAAGCTTTAAATCAAAATTTAGTTTGTTTCCTTCGATTAGCACGGTTGGCTACGTGCGGTGCGAAAGAAAGTTCAACGTGCATTGGTGCTGGTTGACAGCTCTTGCCCCAGCAGTCTGTTCAAGGTTATATATAGGTGTGGTATTTGTCTTTGTGTGTGGAAAGTGCCTCCCACTAACAAAACTAAACTCTTTTATTGCCAGGTAAGGCCCCATTGAGTTGCTGTGTAGCTCTTTTTAAAAAGCAACCTGGCCATCACAAATGATAGCTCAATGGCTTATCATCATGCAGGAATGTATAGCGGCCAAATACGCTCGATAAAAATCCACGCGACCATGGGGAGAGAGAGAGAGAGACACGCAGACTTCAAATATACAGCAGCAGGCATCGTCAGGGTCAGGATGGAACCCACGACCTCCTGTACACCAGGCGAGGTAGTTAACATCTCCTAGCCACCGTGATGATGATGATGATGAGAGAGAGAGACACGGCAAACTCCAAATATACAGCAGCAGGCGTCAGGGTCGGGATCGAACCCACGACCTCCTGTACACCAGGCGAGGTAGCTAACATCTCCTAGCCACCGTGATAATGATGCTGAGAGAGAGAGAGACACGGCAAACTCCAAATATACAGCAGCAGGCGTCAGGGTCGGGATCGAACCCACGACCTCCTGTACACCAGGCGAGGTAGTTAACATCTGACCACCGCGGCACCTCTCGCCCCCCCCCCCCGCCCTTTCCGTGTCGTGCACGCAGGCACCATGTGCACTACGTGGTGCCGTACGCGGGCGACAGCGCAGAGGTGCACAGCCCCGACGGGTACGCGGTGACTCCCGCGCTGAGTAAACAGGAGGTGGACCTGTTGCTGGGACTCACCCTGGGCCTGGGCATCAGCTGGCTCCTCTTGTGGCTGGACCGCCGCCTCACCGACGCGCAGCTCCGCCAGCTCGCCGGTACAGCTCGGCTCGTTTGTCGGAACGGATTTTTTTTTCATTTGAGCCGTACAGATGTGGGTGCCGAACCGCCTGGTGGAAATGCGTCGTTTTGTGGTTTCGCTCGATCGACTAGCTATCAGCGTCGTCGGCGTCATCACGATCCACCGTGGGCCGAGGTGTCCACTGCACATTTTGTCGTCTTTTTTTTGTGTTTACACGTTCAATCTCTCTCTCTCTCTCTCTGTGTCTTTGTCGTGCCAATATTCTCGAGTCGCGGCCACATCTTTCTGGCACCGATCTTGTGTAAGACGTCGTCGCCGTCCTCAAAGCTGCTCTCTGGCAGGTCTTCCTCTCTTTCCTGTTGCCAGTGCCGGATTAAGCGAGTGCGAGGCCTTGCACATGTTATAAATATAAAGAAAACACGTAAATAGGAAAACACACATTTTTTACTTGCATAGTAAAGTAATTGTATTTTTTTCATTTGCTATAAGCCAGATAATACAACAAATCGCTAACCTTGAACACCCAGTCGTTCATAAAAGTTGAAAGCGGTATAGTACTATAGTAATAGAGCAAGTGCAGAATCACTGAACCGGAATTGATAACTTGAAAGCATTTAGCGCGGGGCCCTGGAAAGTGCGGGGCCCGTAGCTACATATGTAGCTACTGCATGTGTAGCTAATGCATGTGTAGCCTACACGTGTAGCTACTACTACATGTGTAGCTACTACTATATGTGTAGCTACTACTACATGTGTAGCTATTACTACATGTGTAGCTACTACTACATGTGTAGCTACTACTACATGTGTAGCTACTGCATGTATAGCTACTACACGTGTGTAGCTACTACACGTGTGCAGCTACTACACATGTGTAGCTAGTACACATGTGCAGCTACCACACACGTGCAGCTACTACATGTGTAGCTACTTTTGCTACGAGGATAATCCGCCGCTGCCTGCTCCTTCCATTTGTTTCGAACATCACAGCATCGCTTTTAATGTTCCTATCGTTGTGCACCCTACACGTGTGTCCAAAACGAACTACACGTGATTGACTAAATTGTCCCACAGATGGATTTACCAATTTACCGATTGAATAATTAACTCGTTGACTGATTGATGCGCTGTTCATTTGACGGGTCGATGGAGCATATTCTGAACTAATTGACTTACTGATGAACTGAGTGACTCGCGGATGGACTGGGCCGTCCGTCGTTTTGTGTTGGAACGGAGCGCAACGCACCGCGCGTGATTCACGAGCGACCCAGACTCAACACGCTTGCAAGGGCGCCCCGAGTGGCAGCTGTCCCTGCGCGGTGACCGGCTTCGTGGCCTCGTTTGTCTGTGCCCCGCCGTTGATGCCGGGTCGCGGCGGACTGCGTCGCCTCGTTGCGGTTTCGCCAACGGCGGCGTGGCAGCGCCGCGTAACGCCGGTACGAGGAGAGACGAGCAAAGACGGCGGCGTTCGGATTTGCAGACGTCTGTGGAGGAATGTGGGAGAGGCCACGGCGGCGATGCCGCCGTGGCCTCTGCTGCTGCTGCTGATGCTGCTGCTGCTGATGCTGCTGCTGCTGATGCTGCTGCTGTGCCCCTCATCTCATCCTACACACCGCACGGGGGGGGGGGGCGCTGTCCATCTCTTTATTCTCCCCTTCATCCTCACCCTCTTCTCCCCTCCTCCCTGATCCCCCCCTCCCCCCGCCTCTTCACCATCCCTCCCACTCGTCCCTCCTCCCCATCCTCCCCCGCCATCTCTCTCCACCTCCCCCATCCTCCCCCACCATCCCTCCCTCCTCTTCCCCCCCCCCTGCCCCCCCCCCCCCCCCCCGCGTGAGTAGCCGAGGCGTGGCGATGGCTCTCGTGCCGCTTCACCCCCAAGCGCCGCTCCGTGGGTGGCGGCAGCGGCGGCGGCGGCGGCGGCGGCGGCGGCAGTGGCCGGCGGCACCGCTACCACGCGTTCCCCCGCGAGGACGATGACGACGACGAGGAGGACGACTCGGCGGGCGCCGGGCTGCTCGTGCCCGCCGGGGCGGGAGGAGGAGGCGGAGTCGGAGGAATGGGAGGAGTGGGAGTGGGAGGAGTGGGAGGAGGAGGAGGAGGAGGATTGCTGTCGCCCGCCGGGAACGCGTTAGGGCACGGCCACACACACGCCCAGCAGCAGCAGCAGCAGCAGCACGTGGGCCACGCTGGCCACGAGAACTCGATGCACTTCAAACCGCGGCTCTGCCACCACAACGGCCACGCGGCCACTGGCAAGCGGCTCTGAGCCACGCGCCGCAGCAGCAGGAGGAGGAGGAGGAGCAGCAGGAGGAGGAGGAGGAAGAGCAGGGGGAGGAAGAGCAGGAGGAGGAGGAAGAGCAGGAGGAGGAAGAGCAGGAGGAGGAAGATCAGGAGGAGGAAGAGCAGGAGGAGGAAGATCAGGAGGAGGAAGAGCAGGAGGAGGAAGATCAGGAGGAGGAAGAGCAGGAGGAGGAAGAGCAGGAGGAGGAAGAGCAGGAGGAGGAAGATCAGGAGGAGGAGGTCCGCTCGCCGGGGAGCGGCGAGGTGGGGAGGTGGTGGTGGTGTTGGATCAGGAGGTAGCGGAGGTGTTGGATGGAGAGGTTGTGACGGTGGAGATTGGAAAAGTAATGAAAATGGTGGAGGTGGTGGTGGTTGTTGGTGGCGGTGACAACGATGGATGTCGTGGCTATGGCAGTAGTGGGCATGGTGGTGGAGGAAAAAGTGAAGATGGTCGTGGTGATGGTGGAAGAGGTTGAGGGTGAGATAGAGTTGGTGGTGTTGGTAGTGAAGGTGATGATGTTGGAGGTGGTGATGGTGGCAGTGGTGAAGGAGCGAGGGGAGGTGGTGATGATGGAGGAGGGGGGGGGGAGGGGATGCTAATGGTGGTAGCAGATTGTGAAGGTCGTCAAGGAGATGGTGGAGCTGACGTTGGTAATTGTGGTGATGGTGGTGGAAGGGGAAATGATGAAGGAGGAGATATTTGGTGGAAATTGTTGAGATATTGGAGAAGGTAGAGGTGGAATAGGGGGGGGGTTGGAGGTGGATGAGTTGGCGGTGGTGGTAATATGGCAGTGGTGGTGGCGTTGTGTGGTTAGATAACGGTGTCGGTAGCAATAGTCGGGGGGTTGCGGGGATTGTTGGTGGGCTTAGCGGAGGTGGAGGCAGCTGTTGGCGATTGGTCGAGGAGCTGGTGGCAGGACCACTGCGGTGGAGATGGCGCTGATAGTAGTCGTGGTGGCGGTGGTGCGTTGTGTTACGGTTGGGGCAGGTGTCAGTTCCACACATGTCTCCTGGACGTCTGTGGGAAAAAAAACGAGCTTCATAGGCTCATGGGATTGCTCCAGTATGAATCGATAGAGAGACTCCTCTACTTACGAACGAGTTAGGTTGTCGAAGTCTGTCCGTAAGTCGATTTGTTCGTAAGTTCAACTTTACTCCTGTCGATTCCAAACACATTGTATGGCGTGTTCACTAAACACGGGGAATGGCTTTAAAAGTTGTATAATCTCCTGTAGATGTCGATGCCACTGGTTCTTCACGTTCTGCAGATGTAGATGTCACCGATTCTTCACGTTCTGTAGATGTAGATACGACTGGTTCTTCACGTTCTGCAGATGTAGATGTCACTGGTTCTTCACGTTCTGCAGATGTAGATGCCACCGGTCCTTCATGTTCTGTAGATATTGATGCCACCGGTTATTCACATTCTGCAGATGTAGATGTCACCGGTTCTTCACGTTCTGCAGATGTAGATGACACTGGCTCTTCACGTTCTGCAGATGTAGATGTCACCGGTTCTTCACGTTCTGCAGATGTTGATGCCACAGGTTCTTCACGTTCTGCAGATGTAGATGTCACTGGTTCTTCACGTTCTGCAGATGTTGATGACACTGGCTCTTCACGTTCTGCAGATGTAGATGCCACTGGTTCTTCACGTTGTGTAGATGCCACCACCGCCATCTATTGCGCGGTGGTTGAACTTACGACTCTCGATCCGAACAGGCAATTGGACATACGGACAGGTTTGTTCGTATCTCTGAAAGTTCATAAGTCGAATGTTCATAAGCAGAGGAGTCCCTGTAGTCTGATTCTGAGTTGTGGACACAGTAGAAGAGGTGGTGGTAATGTGTGTTAACGTCGGTAGAGGTGGTCCTGTGTTGAAGATGTATTTAGGTGCTAGTGGTTGAGCAAATGGTGGCGATCATAACGGCGGAAGTTTGGTGATGGGAGGGAGGTTGTGGTGGTGATGATGCAGTTGTGGGTACCTCTGGTGGTGGTGTCGTTGCAGTTGGCAGTGGTGATGACGACGATGGTGGTGGTGGTGGTGGTGAAGGTGGACGTAGCGGTGGTTATGGATATTGCGATGAATCTATCGATGAACAAAATCAAGTCCCAAATCGCACGGCGCACGCGAGGAATAAGTCATCACCGACATCTGCAATGGTCAATCCACTGCTGGATGAATTCATCCACGCGTGTAGAGAATCAATATGTTTAAACTCAGTGTGTTGTACGCACAGCTGCAATGGTTTGATTCCGCCAACCACTAGAGGCCACGACTTTCACCACGGCATTAGACTTATATATACTCTGAATCGAATCGCGACCCTGAATCAGGACTCTTACTTGAATCATGGGGTTTGGGGAATGATTGGTGGAGGTGATGCAGGTGATGAAACAGCTGTTATCGTTGCTGCTGCTGCTATAGCAGCTTCCGAGATTGATGGTGGTGATGTTGGTGATGATGGTGATGATGGTCGCTGCGATGGTGATAGAGGAGGTGAGAGGTGGGAATGGTACTGCTAGCATCGGTGTTGATGGTGGCTCTGGTGGTGGTGGTGGTGGTGATGCTGATGATGCTGCTGCTGCTCATAATGACGATGGTGGTGGCACAGCTGATGGTGTTGGTCATGCTAGTGATGATGGTGTGGCTGATGCTGGTGATGGATGTTGCTTGCTGGCGATGATTGTGCTGCTGCTGATAATGATGGTGGAGGTGGCATAACTGATGGCGTTGGTCGTGCTGGTGGCGGCAGTGGTTGTGGTTGTGGTGGTGCAGGTGGTATCGGTAGTGAGATGGTGTATGCCCGCTGTTGACTGCGGTGCTGGTGGTCATGTGGCACAGCCTCCATCCATCGCCAGCTGCCCGCCCGCCCGCGTGGCACCGCCTTCACCACCACAGTCACACATGCGTGCGTGAGCGAGGGAGCATGAGCGTGTCAGCGTGTTTGACAGCGGGAGAGGTGAAGTTGGAGGGAGCGTGTTTACATTTTCATTGCATATCATGCCCATAAACCGTGCCATACCTCACTTATTCAGAGAATGTGAAATCATCCCATCGTCATCATCGTCGTTATCATCATCATCCGATTAGCATGATTGGCTGCGTACGGTGCGAAAGAAGTTCAACATGCATCACCATTACCGCATCGAACAAGAAGGGGCAGGTGCGAATTGAATCCCATCGTATCTTGTGGCCATCGGCAACATCATCACCGTCTTCGCCAACTTTGCCATCATCTTCTTGGTTCTTTCGGTAAAGTCGCGTAGAAGGGAAACAATCAAATAATAAATATATATATATATATTGTTTCCCTTCTACGTGGTGACTTTACCGAAAGAACCAAGAATATGAATCCATGCAGTCACGAAAGCTTTACATCAAAATTTCGCCATCATCGTCATCATTTACACCAATGTCGCCAAGTGCGCCAACATGAATCGTCATCTTCGCCACCGCCACCAGCTCACCACCTCTCTTCTTTTCCTCCCGTCGCCAATAATGGCCCAGCGGCGCGTCACGACGCGACATTTGTTTCCCTTGGGAGTTTTTTTTGTTGTCTTTTAAAGAAGTAAACATCTCTTCACTTCGGGGGCCGTCGTCCTTCAACCTCTCGCCGAACGCCGAACCGCCGAGCGATCGGCGTTCGGCGACGAGCGAGCGACGCGGCGAGAGGATGGATCCTGCGGACAAAGTGGGAGGCGATGCTCCCCGCGAGCGGCAGCAGAGGCAGCGAGACCGCCAAAGTAGCCGCGCGGTGGACGGTGGAGCGGGGATGTAGGGGGGGGGGGGCGCAGAGGGCACGACGATCGGCGGAGGGCGAGCGAAAAAACATCCGCGAGACCGAACGGACGCCCGGTGCATGGCGACGTCGACCCGTCGGGACGGAGATGTTGCGAGGAAAGACGCCCCTCGAGAGAGAGAGAGAGAGCACGCGAGGGGCCGAGGAGGGAGGAGAAAACCCTCGCTTGAAACGCGCATCCAAAGGGGGTTTTTTTTTTCTCGTCTCCAAAAAGATTTGCCGAGCTGGAAAGAAAGACGAGAACGTTGAATGCACGTAGCCTAAACCTCGGCTTTCGGCAGCCTCGCGTGGAGGCTAAAAACTAAAATTTGCGAGATGTTAGCGGAGGCACAGTCGGACTGACGGACTGACGGACGGACGGAGGGACGCGGGGTTGTCTTTGACCTCGGTGTGTTGCATGTGGAGTCTGCAAGTGGGACAACCAATTCGGAGGGTCGAGTGAGTGGAGGAAAGACGCGCGGAAGAGCGAGGGCGAGAAGATGATGATGATCTTGATGTTGTTGCTTTCAGAAAGGGCGGCGGTGGTGCTGAAGTGCCAAACGATGTTTGGATGTCGGAAACAAAATGTCGAACTTTAGTACTTTTGATTTGGAAAGGTTTTTGTTGTTGTTGTTGATGATGATGTTGTTGATTTTTTTTTCTCCCAAATCCGCACAAAAGAAAATGCGGAATTCCCGAGTCAGCATTTAGCAGCAGCAGCAGCAGCGGCAGCGGCTGGATGGATGATGCTGATGATGCATTTGAAGCGAAATGGAAGTGAGATATAAACACGGACGTTATTTATTTAATATTACGAGGCCGTCATGGAGCCAAGCGTCCGTGTAGAATGTTGTCCGTGGTTCGCGTTCCGGCATCGGCGCCCTAACGAACTCCCTCTTTTATTTGCGGTGGTGGTGGTTGGGGGTAAATAAATAAGTTAAATTCGAATAAATAATCATAACCGCTGCGACGAAACGCAAAGAAAAAAATATCGAAAGGCACGCAGTTTTTGTTCAATATAATTCTAATAATTATTATTATTTATAATAATTATTATTTATAATTCTAATAATTATTATTATTTGCAGAAGGCAACAAGAATGGCAGAACGCGCGGTGCGCCGTGCTGAACGGAGGTGGACGACGAACGCGATGCCGATTAGACGTTCCGGGAAGAGGGGAAGGGGGGTTGGGGGGTGGGGTGGAGGAAAAAACGAGGAGATTGAGAAAAATTTGCGACAACGAGTTTAGTGGGGGAGGGGGGGGGGGTTGTCTGAGACTA